TTTGTTCACTTATCTAATTATTTTTTTAAAAATCATATTTAAACTCATCACCCTCTTGTTTCCCTCCCACTCCTGACGATATACTTCCTCTTTCCAACCAGTTTCCCCCTTTCATGGTGTGTGTATGGTGGGGGAGGGGGTGGAGAGGGAGGAGAGAGATGACAGACAGACAGACAGACAGACAGACAGACAGAGTTGCCGTGCTAATGAGTTTCATTTGGGTGCTAAACAGGAGCTTGGGCAGTGCCTCTCTACAGTAGTATTGATGTCTTAACCAGTCGCCTCATTGCTGAAGAAGAAACTCTATCTGTCCCTCCAACAACCGTTAACTGTCTATACATCTTCAGGAGGGGAAAGGTGAGCTTCACCCCACTAGCAACTATTAGCTGCCTATAAATCTCCAGGAAGGGTGGACCATTTATAAGTGCCCCCACCTTCATGGAGCAGCATTGATAGACCCAATGTTTGGAGCTGCTGAGAGTTTGAGAGCACAATGACTATGATATACTTTGGAGACTTTGTTCTATAACATTTTACCCCTTTCTCTGGCTCTTACTTTAAACTTCTCTTTCACAGTGTTTCACAAGACTTGAATGGGGGTGATATATATACATACATATATATATATATATACATGTATACATATATATGTATATACATATGTATCTATGTATATACATATGTATCTATGTATCTATGTGTATATACACATACACACACATATATATAAAATCTGTCCTATTTAGGGCTGAGCACTCAACAGTCACTTACTCTCAGCACCTGGATGAGTTATAAATCTCTTCACTAACCACCACGTATGCAAAGAAGGATCTCTGCCTAAAGGTGACAGTAACGTTAATGTATGGGGATAAATTTAGAACAATTTGACCGACACCGCATATGCATTTAGCAAAACAGCGGCAGTAGCCTTCCCACTAGGACCCATAACCTCTCTAGCCACAGGGCTTTGACCAGCATACAATACTGAACACCAGTTCTCTCCTGTGAAGCAGGCCTCAAATCCAGTCAGAAAATGGCTGGTTACCCCAACCACTTTTGGGCATATCTTGCCTGGCAGTGCTGCAAGATAGCTTTCAGGTTCCAAAGATGAGTAAGACAACTGAGGACAAGTTTTCCATAGCCGTCTGCACAGCACCACTGCCACTGCGAGAGCCATCCAGCAGGAAGAGAGCAGTCAGCTCACCTCTATCCTGGTTTCTCTCAGTGTCCTTAAGCCAGAGCAGGTACTCTCTCCATCAAGATGCTCTTACCCTCTAGTTCTAGTGGGCATCCAGAAAACAGTGGCAATCACCTGTATCATTTTGGAGGCCTCTGAGGGACATTGTAGGGAAGTAGCTCATCCCTGGAAATGGGATTTTCATTTAATAACTTATGGTTTCTAGGAGTAGATTTACCCGCCAGTTCAAAATACCTCCATCCAAATGGTTTCTGGCCTCTTTTAACATGGAAAAAGGAGAATGAAAAGGGGCGAGAATGAAAATGACCTTAGAAGTGTGCATTTTGTCTTTGTTAGTGTTACAGTAGACTTATATCTTGGGAAAGGAGTTCGCTTGCTCATTCTATCAAGAAAGAGAAATCATAAATAAGAGAAAATGAAGCTAAATACATGTTGAGAAATCTCCAGACTCACTGATAGTGCAACTACAGGGCAACTCGTGTGTGTATGTGTGTGTGTGTGTGTGTGTGTGTGTGTGTGTGTGTGCGGCCACCAAAGCAGGCTCAAGAAAGACAAGGGCTTTTGGCAGAAACCGAGTCAACAGGCCACATTGTTTCCGGGAGGGTCTGGTATGGAGTGGGGATGAGCAGGCTCATCTGTTCTTGTGTGCAGGATTTATACATTAGACTTTAAATAGGAAGAGGCCACATCAGATACTCATTAATGTGTTGCCTTGTTTGGAAGAGAACTAAATAGATCGTGCCGGGCAGCCTCTGTGTAACACACTCATGGTGGCCACAGGAGAGATAAGGATCTGGCTAGATCAATTCCATAGTCCTGTGGTGTTTGAATGGGTGTCCAGAAGTCATGAGTACCTACTTGACGTTTTTCCAGTTGGGGAGAAGAGCTCCTAGTACGAGTTCTGAGAAGCTTCCCTCCTTAAACAAGGCTTTCGATGCATTTTGTGTGTAAGAGTTAAAACATGAATATGTAGGTTACCACAAGATGGCATTCTATTATTTCAAGTAATGCCAGGTAGAGGGAGCAGCCTTCGCTTAATATAGTTTTAATTTCTGAAAAGAGTTAAAATTCGTGCCATCCATGTCACCATATTTAGCTTTTTCGTACAAACCTCTAATTTCTTTTGCCATTCTTTATGGAAACTTGAGGTTTATGTCTGTTAACTCCAGAAGCAGTCATGAAGGAAAACAACTTAAATTTTGCAAATTATATTTATTAGCGTGTATAGTTCATGGTCTCTTGTGTTCATCTATTACAAGTTCCATTTTCCTATTGCTATTTGCAAAGATTGTAAAATGAATGACCCGTGTTTTCTACTGCATCGTCCATGCTTTTCCATCTATCACCCTATTTTATTTTCTCTTAAACAGGTCTGACGTATTTATTTATTGCTTTTGTTTGTTTCTTCAACTAATGTATTAATTTTGTAAGAAGCTACATGCTTTTCACTTCACTACTACATTCTTAGTGTCTGAAACAGTATTTGGAATGGTAGTCTGTCTGTCTGTCCGTCTGTCTGTCTATCCATCCATCTATCTAATCTGTATCTATCATCTGTCTATCTATCACCTATCTATCTATTATCTTCCTGTCTAATCACAAAGAAATGAAGAGGGTCTTATCATTTAAATGAGTATCTTTTCTTTTCGTAGGTAAATATTAAAATGAAGTGAAGGTGTGCAGAAGTATAGGTTAAGCTGACAATTTAGGTGATGTAGCAAGAACTGAGAATGTTTTATTACTGTGCATGCCTGGTGATACATTCTGTTTTTCTTCATAATTTCATTTAGTTATCTTTCCACAGTTTACAGTATGACTGTAACATTTACTTGGAATGCATTTATGGATATGTAACGAACAAGCTGCAATGCAATAAAGAAATCGGTTTCATTTTATGTTAGTGTGAAAAGGTTAATTCACATACATGCCCACATGATTTAGAGAGCTGTGTGCATCTTGGATGTCTCTGGCCCAGGAAATCTCTGTAGAAAAACAGAACCCCCAAGCATCCTTCCCTTACCAGCATGGATCTCTGGAGGGCTAAGCTTCACCAAGTAGTCATTGTAATTTTAAACCTTTTCTTCCAGGGCTGAACTGAGTGAAAGCATGCACAACACATCTTCATCTTTGTTTGTTTGTTTGAGACAGGGTTTCTCTGTGTAGTCCTGGCTATCTTAGAACTTGATCTGTGGACCAGGCTGGCCTTAAACTCACAGAGATCTGCCTGCCTCTTCCTCCTGAGTGCTGGGATCAAACTCACTGAGATCTGTCTGCCTCTTCTTCCTGAGTGCTGGGGTCAAAGGCACGCATCGCTACCACCCTGGTGTTTTCATTCTTATTCTTGGTTCTTTGAGACTGACACTGGTAGAGTCTTACATTCCATTTCTAAGGATCTAGGAATCCTGAAACTCAAGTTCTCCACGCAAAGGACTCTTTTTCTTACCTCAGCCTGAGGAGTGCACTTGGGCTTCTGCTCAGTGCGCAAGATGTCATTTGATCACATGATGAAGCTGGAAACCTGGAGGGGGTCAGGAGACAGCCCAAGAGCATCAGGCTCTACTTAGGAGCTGCTTTATCTGGTGGCTTTGAGAGATTCGTTTTCTGTCTGTCTCTCCACTTCTGAGTAATGGAAAGGATGGTTTATAGTAACTCTGAGGTGACTTCACAGTGGAAGTCGAGGCAGCAAGACAGTACCTGGGGTGAGTTACATTATCTCAGGTGCCGTACTTATTAGTCATTTTGAGCAGGGTATTTAGTTTATCCAAGCCTTCTCTCCCAGATATAAAACAGAAAGCAAACAACGTATATCTTTATAGTATACTTTTGTGAATTAACAGTCTATGTAAATTGACTGTGTTAAAAAATGATAGCTATTATTAACCTGGGTATATCTAAATTGTCTTTCAGAGCAATTTAATAAAATAAATAAAGTATTAATCAAGTGTCTCCTGTGCGCCTGACATCCTGTCCTTTTATGATTATTTTCCTGAGGTGCTAACATGGTCACCAGGTCATGGTCCAGGGCAGTAGTGCTGGACTGGCCTGTTCAATTTCCTGACTCCCAGGAACAAGCTGGGTAGTGAAACAATCCAGTCTTCATCCAGTTCCTACTTTTGAAATTGGAGATCATAATATTATGCAACTTTTTCACCACAGAATAGCTGTTAAGTTAGATGGGGTGGTATAATGAAGGCATGTAGGTCTGGCACAGAGAGCATTCTTAGTTTACATTAGGCTGGCTCATTATTACAATAATAATAATAATAATAATAATAATAATAATAAAATGATTAATATTATTATTAATGATTTTTCCTAACCTCATTCTTATCTAACCTCAGTGCTTAGATGGGACCTAAAGAAGGTTTCCTTTGGGACAGAGGGATTATTGGCTCCTTGGTTAAGAGCACTTGCTGTTCTTGAAAGACCCAGGCTCAGTTCCCAGTGCTGAGATGGTGGCTACGGTTCATAAGCCACATCTGTAATTCCAGTGCTGGGGGTGGGAGGAGCTGTCACCCATCGCCCTCTAACGTCCTCTTTGGCACCAAGCACTCACATGGTGCACGTACTTATGGCAAGACCCCACACACATAAAATTGAATAAGTTGTTCCTGGATTTCATGAAAGCCCACCTCACTTGTTTGAGTCCAAGTGCTAAAATCAAGATTCTTGATTTAAAACTGGTTCTTACTTAGAGGTTTCTTGGAAGATACTTACTGTCTTAAAGACGCCTGCCACGCCTATCAGGTACTTCGTGTTGGCAAAAGACAACACTAACTCTTCTTTATGTGTTTTTGTTTAGTATCCCAACCCCATGGATAAGAATGTCATCTCCGTAAAAGTTGTGGAAGAAAAAAAAGGTACGTTCTCTGCGTACACCCTTACGTTAGTTAAGGCCATCAAGTATCCTGACTTTGTAAAGGATGCACTTGTGTGTGTTTGCCTGTGTGCCTGTGTGAGTGTGTGCCTGTGTGTGTGTGTGTGTGTGTGTGTGTGTGCCTGCGTGCCTGTCTCTTACATCTTAAGCAGGGCTTTTGCCACTTTCTAAATCATGGTGGATGGTCGGACCGAGGCTGGGTGTAACTGTGCAGGGAACATGTTGAGGTACTTAGTGTGTCTGTACCAACATCCTACTTTCCTTAGCTCACTCAACTTTCAGAATAATGTTTGAGGTAGGAATTATGATGACTCCTCTTTAATGCAGGAGGAAACCTAAGCATGGGGATACTAACCTGGCCAAACTCACTTGGCTGTATCGTTGCCACACATCAATTTGTGGATGGCAAAACGTTTGTAGATAGTAGATATGAAGCCAGGCATGGTGCCTCAGGCCTATAATGGTGGAGGTTCGAGCATCAGGAATTCAAGCTTAGCCTGGACTATTGAAAAATAGCATGCAGTCGTGATGTGGCCATAAAGCACGTAGATTGTGGAACTGTAACTCAAGCTTGGCTCATGCTGTTTCTGTAAGCAGGGTTTTCTTACATGTTAGCCATGCCCCTCTGTGTGTTATAATGGCTGCTTCATCTGAGTAACAGCAAGAGCTGGGTATTAGGCCCACACACCTAAAATATGTACCCCATGACCCCTTTCAGAAAATGCTGACTGTGTGCCGCCTTGGGGATCTCTGGTGCTGTTTGCATTTCCTTCCTCAGGGCGAGCACTGTGATTTGAAGAGTGGTCCGTGCCAGGAGCTCTGGTGAAGTTCACAAGCCTGTGGAGACATCCAGAGCCTGGCCCAGTGTGCTCTTCAGCCTTAGAAACCACAGGCTGTTGCTGTCAGTCATGTGGCTGCAGTCTCCACAGTGCTTCATAAACATGAAACTGTCTTATTAATGGGGCTGCTTTTCGCATAAGTGTGGGTACAGAAATAGACTGTTAAAAGCATTTTCTCATGTACCTGAGTGCAGGGTGGGACAAGCTTTCCTGAGCTGGCCTGAGACGAAACTGATTTCAAGTCCTGATTCTGTTCCTTCTCATGACCTCATTTTGAGACAGGTCTTCTCTGTGTAGCCTTGGCTGTCTTGTACTCACTTTGGAGATCAGGGGGCCTCGAACTCACAGAGATATACCTGTCTCTGCCTCACTGAGTGCTGGGATTACAGGCGTGCAACACACCTAGCTATGACCTAACTTTTTAAAGGTTCAAGGTGTTTGTCTGTCAAATCGAAAAACAATACTGATAAGTTAGATTGTTATGAGGATCAAATGAGAAAATGAGGTATATATTTTAAAGTGGCATAGAGTGCTGGTTTTAATTTCAGGTTTTCATCTTTGCCCCCCATTTTTTGTTTGTTTGTTTGTTTTAAAGACATAGTCTTACTATGTAGCTCTGGCTGGCTTGACACATTCTATGTTCACCAGAGCCACCTGCCTGCCTCTGCCTCCCAGGGGCTGGGATTAAAGGTGTGTGTCACCATGCCAGGAAGCTGTTCCCTTTTTAGTACATGTTTCGCTCATGTTGGCTGAGATGACCGAAGGACTGCTAAGAGCAAAGCATTTATTTCTTGCCAGCAGGTTTCTGGTGGTCAGGGTGTTTGCCTCAAGGGTCAGGACAGCTGTAGTCTGAGCTCCAAGAAACCCTGCACCATGGCTGAGCCTTGTAATTCATAGAGAAATGACAACACTTCAGTTTGAGTTTTTTTTTTTTTTTCTTCCTATTTCCTCTCATTTTAACTCATACTTGTTATTGTTATTGGTAGTTTAACTTTCCTCCAGGATGGGGTACTCTGATCACAAGTGTTTTATTCCTCTATGAGAGAAGAATGTGACTCATGTATTTAATTAGTTATAGGTTTAAATGATACAGCCAGAAATCTGTGCCTAAAGCTGTGGCCCAGGCGGTGGCCGAATCCATTTCCATCCTCCTTGTTGTTGAGTAGGCCACCGTTGATACTCGGCACTCATCACTCAGAGTGGTGGCCCACTTGTGATTCATTTTCTTGTCTTTAGCATGTTTGTTATGGATTTGGCCTTTATCCTGTGAGCATTTGTGATTTGGCTTAGAAAACTGATCAGAAAAAAAATGTTTAAAAATTTATTTTATTTTGTATTTTGTTTGTGTGTGTACGTCTGTGTGGGTATATGTGGCTGGGGGTAGGAAGTATTTGAGAAATCAGATGTTTTGGAGCCCTTGGAAGTAGAGTTATAGGCAGTTGTGAGCTGCCTGAGGTAGATGCTGGGAGCCAAAGGTGTGTACTTTTTACAAGAACAGAGAGGTCTCTTAACCCCTGGAAAACTGAATTTTGTGTCTTATCTGTAAGAATTCTGAGTATTGAAAACTTAAATTGAGTTAGGAAGCTCTATGGACTCTTAGATAAAAATACATTTTCCCCTAATTATTTTTTGGCTATGAAATTTTTTCTTTCCTAGATGAATCAACAGGACTCATCTATAGAAAGAGGATTGCTATCTGTAAGAATGTGGTTCCAGAAATGTTAAGAAAGGTAAATTCACTTCAGAGTTTAATCACAGTGGATATAAAATTGAGGAATTTTAATAGTTACAGAAGAAGGCAGCATTTTCTGATCTAAAGTAGTGCTAGAATTTCCTATTGCCTCCAGCCTCATAGTTTTGTAGGGGTAATATTTCTTTCATGCTCATCCCAGTTTTGGCAGACGACGCATGTGATACTGTGTCTGTCCTTTCTGAGGAGGACTCTTCGTGGATGTGGGGAGATTTGGTGATTATTTTTGTGGGTACTTGTGGCATTTTGAAAGAAGTGTTGGCTTTCCTAGTCTGCCCATGGCTAGCAATGGCCCTTAGGCAAGGACAATTACAAGTGAGAAGATTGTATTAATCTCACTTTTGGGTAGGAAGTCCACACTTCTCTTTGTAATGCATTGTCAGAAATACTAGCTGTTTCTGGGAGCATGCTGTTCTTAGTGCCCCATGAAAGTCTTTTGGTGTGTAAAATAAACTCAATGATGCTGGAATGTTCATGATAGAAAACTGTTTTCTCCCTTTGAAACGCTTAAGCACTTGGGTGATTCTGTGTTGGACAGAGGTGAGTGCAAAATGTCATCTGCATGGCTTGAACCATAGTCAGGTTTTTCTTCTTGACAAAGGGCCTACCTCTGTAGCCCAGGCAGAGGTGGAACTCACTGTGTAGCCCAGGCTGGCCTCAAACTGTGAATAACCCTCTTGCCTCAGCCATCTAAGTGCTGAGATTACAGATGTGTACCACCATGCCTAGCTGTAGAAGTAGTTAAAAAGTTTTTGTTTATACTGAAAATTTCGTACATGTATGCAATGTGTTGAGGTTATCTATCCCTCACTTCCCTCTCTAACTCTCTCAGACTCTCCAACACATCTCCCTCCCAACTTCATGTTTCCTCATTTCTATTTTGGTATGATTATTTTCAAGTTGTTGAGTCTAATTAGTGTCACCCCTGTGTGCTTGGGTTTGTGGTTATCTCCTGGGACATGGGAACCCCTTCAGGGAAAAGTGACTCTTCCTCCCCTAGTAGACATCAGCTGTCAATGGCTCATCAACTAAGCCCTCCCCCATCTGTACTGTCCATGCTGGAATTTTTAACGGCTTGATCTTCTGCAGGTCTTCTGTGGGTATACACGGCTGTTGTGAGTCCATTCGTGCAATAGCCATGTCATATCCATAAGATAGCCTTCTGCAGCACCCCTCATCTCCATTCTTTCCTCTCTTTCGCCATGCTCCTTGAGCCTTGGGGTGACTGGCGTAGATGTCCTATCTATGCTGAGCATTCACTGTCACTTAGTCTTAGTACTTTGAATAGTTATGAGCTTCTTCATTCGCAATGTAGGATTTTTTTGTGTGTGTGTTTGTTTTTGTTTCTTTGTTTTGTTTATTTTATTTTATTTTTTCAAGCCAGTATTTCTCTGTATAGTCCTGCCTGTCCTGGAACTTGCTCTGTAGACTAGGCTGGCCTTGAACTCACAGAGATCCTAAGTACTGGGATCAAAGGCATGCGCCACCACTGTCTGACACGTTGTAAGATTTTTGATGGTGGTCTTTTAAGACATAAGAGGAGAGCATCTTGACAGACACTTTAAAAAAAATTGCCCCAGAAGAGATTCCCTATGTGATGCGGAATGAAGCTGGGCACCTTCAGAGTAGCTTGCAAATTAAACTGCTGTGTTTATACTAGGAAAAAGGGCAGCTTCCATCCAGCCCTCATTGTGGGTTAAAACACTGCTATTCTCTTAATGTAAAAAAGCTGGAACTACAAAGGAAATGAACTTCTTTTGACTTGCAGATGGGAAACTGTGTTGTAATTCCACAGCAAATTATCACTGGCTTTTCCAGAGTTCAGAACTGTCTTTGCCCTATATACGCACTTTGAATCTATTATTTAAAAAGGCATTCCAGTTCATCTTGTACCTCAATTCTTAAATAATTTAAGTCTCTGACTTGTACAATTCTGCCTTTGTAGCTTTCCTTGTCCTCCCTACCTGGGAAAGCATCGATTCCTAGGGACTGAACAGAGAATACAACGAGGAAAATATTTCACTTAATATTGCCCTGCATGGGAGCATGTAGGTGGGTCTGATGAGAATCCATCAACTCAAGAAGGTCCGTCCCAGAGGAGACCCAAAGCAGCTGATAATTTGTTTAGTGGCCTGTGTCAGTCCTGAGCCATTTGCAAGTCCTTGGCAGCATGTAGTGAGGCCACAGTGTGTCTGATTATCAGAGACTGAGGGGGATAGCCGAAGTGCTGTCCATTCATCAGGATCACCTGTCCCTCTATTAGCCAAGACTGAGATGGGCCCCGGGCAGAGTCTTCATGTAGCTTGCGCTTCCTAGGTTGAGAATGCTGTCCTCTTTCTGTTGGCCAGGTGAGTATTTTAAAGGTACCTGATATCCAGCTAGAAGAAGAATCATGGCTCAGTATTCGAAGAAGGAACATGGCTATCCGGAGTCATCTACTCACGTGGACACAATACGCATCCTTGAGGGAAGAGTCTGTCTTCCGGGAAAGTGTGGAAAATCCAAACTGGTAAGATTACTTCTGTGTGTGTGTGTGTGTGTGTGTGTGTGTGCTGGGTGTGTTGGGTGTGTTGGGTGTGTTGGGTGTGTTGGGTGTGTTGGGTGTGTTTGTGTGTTGGGTGTGTGGATCAATACACCAGCACACAATTTCCTACCTATGGTCTCTGTTATACAGATATTTCACATTGTTTTCAATCACGTAAGCAATAGATGAATATATTTTCTTTTGGAGAAAATATGACAGAACTCAATTCTTGTCCAAATACCCTCTAAATTCTGGTGTTGTTTTTCTTTGTGTGTGTGTGTGTGTGTGTGTGTGTGTGTGTTTTCTGAGACAGGGTTTCTCTGTGTAGTCTTGGCTGTCTTAGATCAGGCTGTCCTCTAACTCGGAGATCCCCTTACCTCTACTTCCCTGAGTGCTGAGGTTAAAGGCATGTGCCACTGCCCCCAGGTAATTGTAGTATTTTCTTACCCTCCTCAAAGGCAACGAATGTCACCAGTTTGTTGAATATTCCTTCGGGCCTTTAAAGGCAGTCTAGGTATTCAACAGAGTTTGAATAAGGACAATGTTTTGCTGGATGTTATCTTGCTCGTGACCTTGTCAGTGGGCCCGCCTAACACCTGCCAATTCCAGCAGGTTTATGGAGGTGCTTGTACGGGGACTCAGCTAGCTTGTTTAGTTTGTGTGTCTTTTTCACACATGTGGTTTTATGCTGTCTACATTTTTGTGTACTTATCTTTTTTTTTTTTTTTTTTACTTGCTTCTGAGCAGCTGTCTGTTTTCTGTTAATCCCTAAGGTAGAGAACATATACTCTGCTCTCTGTCTCCATGGAATAGATTCCACGGAGACGCTCTGTGTTCGTGGAATCATGTCAGCTTGAGTTCACTGCCCAGAGGCCTTGTGTCCTAACTCCTTCCCATTGTGGGTTAAGGTTTCAGCACACAGGCCAGAGGCACCTGCATGCAGGCAGCTCGTCTCTCGTGCCTGAGCCCTTGGGTTCCAGCCCCGGAAACCTAAAACGTGATGCAATAGAAAACATGTCAACATATAAATTTTGGGGTTTATAGACATATAGCCTGTCACACAGATTCTTGCGCGTTGTCTTTCAGTGTGCTAACGTGGATTTACACTCCACAACAGCACTCACCAGAGGCTACTTCCCTGCGGCATGGCCTGTAGTTAATTAACACACATTTTAATTTTTGTAAGTACAATGGGTGAGAACCAATCCTTGACGAGAGATTTTAAAAATGATTTGTATATTTTTCTGTGTCTGGCATGTTATCTGCATGTATATATGTGCGCCACACGTGTGCCTCATGCCTGCAAGGGCCAGAAGAAGACATTGAGTCCCCTGGAGTGGAGTTGCCGATGTCTGTGAGCTGCTGGGAATGAAACCTAGCCCTTTGCACGGGCGGCGCCGGCTTCTCAGCTGCCGAGACATCTCTCCGTGCCCCTTGTTTGGTTTTGAGACAAGTGTCTTACTATTTATACCAACTTGTCTTAAACTCCTGGGCTTCTGCCATCCTCCTGCCTCAGCTTCTTCCACATCTGTCATCTTTTTTGGCATCCAAAGACAGACTTTGAAACAGAAGTCAAACATCACACGTACTAAATGTTAACCGTAACCATTACGGTGACTGATGTGATTTCAGAGGGTAATTTACTGTGTTTTATTGTTACTGTTCTGTGTGACATGAAATCTTTTATTGTATAGCTACGGTTTTAATGGAAATAATAAAGCCCTCCAGCTACTAATTGTCCCCATGTGAAAGCCATCCTTAAGGTCCAGCCTCTCTCCAGATCATTCCCATTGGCACAGCTCTGGCCATACATCAGCGACGCTAGGATGCTGCAGCAGCTTCCTGGATGAGGAAGGAAGCTTGTCTATTCGCATCAGAGGGAGAGTTACTGATCCGTAGTTCTGATTTTGCTGATGCTGAAAGCTGACATAGGACATGGGTGGGAGTAAAGGCTGGGGCCAGAGAGCAGAGCTTTGTTGTTGGTATGCAGATGTAGCAAAAGGATGGCACTGCCTGATTCCATTCCTGTTTTCATTCTCTTTAGTTTAGCATATTTTTTTGCTATTGTTATTTAGTATTATTATATTTGGGCTATTGGATAGTCTTAAAAGCTGAACTGAACGCTTGTACACGAAAGTTAAACTGTGATTCAACCTGATAATACTGGAGATTATTTTCACTGTCTTCTTTTTTAATCAGAAAAACTTCTGATTATGGGAAAAATGGTACATGGCTCTGGTAGCTAATATTAATCAATTCTGGGAAACAAATCATATTAACTAGAGATCATGCTTATTTACATACTATTTACATATTATTTAGGTACTGTTCTCGGTCCATTCTTATTTGACTTGTAGGTTTCTGAACTTTTAATGATTATAGTGTTATAATGAAAGTCTCTGCAGTTGCAAGTTTTATCACAAATTTAGTTATTTTTTTGGAGACAGGATCTTGTGACACCAAGGCTGGTCTTGAATTCATTACATAGCTGGAAATGACCTTGAACTTCTGATTCTCCTGCCTCTAGCTCCTGAGTACTAGAATTAGAGGTCTATGCTACCACACTTGGTGTATGTGTGCTTGGGATGCCGTCTGAGGTTTTGGCATAGCTAGGCCAGGACTCTACTGCCCGAGGTACACCCCAACCTGTTATTCTTATGATCTAAGAGTTTTTAATGACTCAGTTCTACTTTGTAGTGTGCATAGGTGTATATACAGAGAGAGAGAGAGAGAGAGAGAGAGAGAGAGAGAGAATGAATGAATATGAATGTGTGTCACCGAGGTCGTGGGCAAGCCAGGCAGGTGCTCTACCACTGAGCTGTCACCTCAGTTTTGCATAGTTCAAAATACAGAAACAGCGATTGTGTGTATAACTGTTTACCGTTACCCTGCAAGACTCTGTTCCATGATTAGGTTTTGTGTTATCTCGGTACACCATCCCCAGAAATGTTCCCTTTCCAATTTGAGAGTGATGGGACCAGGAACCTGCTGTTTTACCTCCACGCCAGATTTAAGTCCAGGAACTATGTGTATTCAGGGCTTTGTGTATTTGGCATGGACCATCACCCATGTTTGTCTCTGTCGTTCCTGTTGTACAGTGACTGGTGTTAGTAGGCCCAGGATGCCGTGTAGACTCTTTAGCGGATTTTGGCGTTCTCTGGACTCAGACTCCAGGCTGATGTTTTCCTTGCCCTATGACCTCTCAGGACAAACCAGAAAATAGAAAAGTGGACAAAACAACAACAGAACACAATTAAAACTATCTCTTGTGGGAATGTGATTGTATTTGGAAAAAGGAGAATGGTGTCCTGTTTTAAATTTTTTGAAAGAAGAAAAAAATAATAGTTTTTGATTTCTAAAATCCTTTATTCTGAGGTAGGCTTATTAATTTCCTAGTATTCATGTTTGAACTGATTCTTCTCTAATTTTAATAATATATTTGATTTAATTCAATAAGTCCAAAATATTATCGTATCTACAAATAATTAGTATAAACAACTGTTAAGGGACATCTTACAGAAATTCTGAGCCTCTGACACCTATCAACTAACGTATGCCATTACTGTCCTGAGGGCCCAGAACCCACGTGTGGCCAGTGGCTGCCCAGGTCACGTTGACTAAGAAGGCAGAGTGAACTTGCCATCTCCTCCCCTCAGCTTTGTGGCCTCAGAACTAAGGCTCATGTACTCTTACCAGTACGTTTATTAGTTTTGCAGTTTTATTTTGTAACTATAACTTTTTGATGTACTTATTTTTTTGTGTATGTGTGCTTGAGAGCATGTTTGCATGCACCATGGCATGTACTTGGAGGTCAGGGGATAACGTGCAGGAATTAGTTCTTACCTTGCAACATGTGAGTCCTGGAGACTGAACTCAGATTGTCAGGCCTGGAGGAGAAATTTTACCTGCTGAGACATCACCCTGGCTCTTTTAAAAATAATAAAAGGAGCCAGGTGGTAGTGTATGCCTTTAATCCCAGCAGTCAGGAAGCAGAGGCCAGCCTGGTCTACAGAGCTAGTTCCAGGACAGCCAGGGCTATGCAAAAGAACCCAGACTCAAAACAAATAAACAAACAAACAAAGACACAGAAAAACAGAATTTAGTTTGTCAATACTTTCATACATGTATAATAATGAATTCTGGTCATTTTCAGCCCCCATTGCTAGCTCTTGTCCTAATTTCTTTCCTGCTGAAACCATTCTTCCTAATGAGTCCCCCTTCTACTTTCATGTTTGTCTGTGTGTGTTTCATCAAATTAAATTAGGTTTGTTTCCATGAGCCTGATCTGGGGGCTAATTACTGGGAGGTGGGGTGGGCATTCAGTGACTACACCATGGAGGAATGTTCCTTCCTTGTTGGTAACCACTTTCTGTCAGTAGATGCTCCAGGAGAGGTGGGGCCTTGTGGGACCCCTCCTCTTCTGTGATGGAAGGTTAAGAACCGTAGCTGCAATGAGTTCTTGAGTGCAGCCTAGTTTTGAGTAATCTTCTTTGTTCTTTGTTTTCCTTTATAATAGACTTTTATTGTACTGTCTAGACCAAGATAGACATACAGTTGCTTTAGTTTTAATCATTGCTACTTTACCTAAGCTGTGTAGTTTTAAATGACAGTTGTCTTCTTGCAGGTTTTTGCCTTCTCCTCATCCTACAACTATGTGTACTTTTTGTGGTGAGTTAAACTATCTGTATCTTGCTTCCCTTGGTGGAGCCTTGGTGCAGTTTTTGCTTTTGGGTGACACGATGATTCTTCTAGCCCCCAGTGTAGCTTTCTCAGTGGCCCAAACTGAGCTATTCCATGTCTAACACTCCTGCCCCGTGCGCTGATGGCTCCCATCTGACTTTAAAATGCTCAGCTGAGTATACACCAAGAACGTTGCAGGTTCATTTTATATAAACATTTCAGTGAGGCCATTCCCAGAATAGAGTACAATAGATGTAGAAAGCACACATGAAATTTAACAAACAGGTTAAATTAATGGGTTGAAC